TCCTCCAAGAAGACATGTGTCCATGTGACATGCTGCCCATTTTCCAGTGTATATGGCAGTGCTTCTTTGTAAAATTGATGACAGGGTTCGTTTGGAGTGCCTACTACTTTTGGACTTGAGATGGCCAAGTTGGAGGACAAAAGGTCTGCTTTTATGTACATACAAAGGATTGGAAAGTCGTCATATAGATCCGGGCAAATGAAGCCTCAGTCTTGCTTTTGCATGCTCATACTGCTTGGAGTCATCTTGGTTGGCTCTAGATAAGACAGACAGCATAAATAGCCTTATTCTTTGACAAAAGAAAACAACAGAAAAGTGGAGATATAGATCCGTTCATATTTCGATAGCATGCCTTTATCGAAACGAAGCTAGAAGCTATCAGTGAAGATTTTGTCAAATGATATGGCGATATGTCAGTCAATGAGGCTATCGCTGCCGTGGAAGCTAAGGTAGACAAATATTTCCATGCAGTCGATGCTTTCGGTATATCAAAATAGGACATCTCCGTTTTTTTAGAACGTGTGTCCACGGGTCATATGCGTTTTTTCTTTCGGAGATGACTTCTATTGACATGAATTGGGCATACCAGTGGAGAATCCATGCGCTCATCCTCTGATCATAATGTTTTTAGATCAATTTGAAACGAAGGCCCCGGCCGCGAGCCCAGTAAAAGCCAATTTTCTTATTAAAGCCAATTGTTAATCATAGATGCCTCTGCTAGAAACGTTTATGATTATGCTGGGGTATGTACACGTGAACAGCGTTCCCTTCAAGAACCTTTATAGTTAGTGAATAACCAGCATCCAAATTAAGCATTTACGATGGAGTGTATAGGGGGCGGAAAGGGGGTCCCATATGTAGATACACTAGTGACGATGAAACAGAGAAACAGCAGCACAACGTTGGAAACGGAGCTCTTTGTCAAGCCCACCAACTCCGGTATGGTAGTCTGGCATTTCACTCTGGTACCTAAGTATTGGGCATATCTCAACGGCGAATCTGCACATCCCGCTTCCACTAAGTGCAGCATAATCTGCAATATGTTCCATAGGACTCTATACACTTTTCAAGTAGTGAAAAGGAAAGAAAGAGCATAACGAAATATGGACTTTGTTGTTAGGCAGTGGATATTCTTCATAAATTTTTAGGTAGAATGGTGGAAGAAGTAAAACATCTAGAGCGTGCGGGGGGATGGATGATACGAGGCGGGAACACGTTCTATTGGAAGGCGGATTCTTGACCTTACCTTACTTATATTAGCACTTGCTTTGGAAAGCCAAACACATCGTTAATATAAAAATTTAGCGTACGCATAGCTCGGAGGAACGACATTAAGCTAAAAGGGTCTCTGGTCAAATGCTTTATCTCAAAGCTTAAGTGCCCGGGTGGTAATAGATGCCATTGACGCATGCCTGGGTTTCAAGGGGTTTGCGCGCATAAAGCGTTGTTTACAAAATTAAGTGCAAACTGTGCGAACACAGGGGAGGGTCATAGTCTATGTCGGAGAGTCCATACGCCCTTTTCGTTTGAGATATAATGAACGCCTGCGAGGCGCTAGAGACAAAACAGAGAATCATGTTACGGTTGGTCATTATTTGGCAAGACGCGTTCAGGCAGAACAGGAAAATAAATGAGCCAATTTATCATAAAAAACAGCGACCAAACGTTAACCTAGAAGGCTCATTATAGCCGATTATGCGAACGTGATATGTGCCTTGATGTGTGTTGTGTGCTGGTTTAAAGTCATTTACATGTAGAAGTGATGCCTGACGCGTGATGCGCGATGCTTTTTTAATTGAAATCGTTTGTATGCATGACTGATGTGTGATGTGTGATGCCTGTTTACTTGACCCCGGTTGTATGCTTGAAGGAAACGTGATGCGTGATGCCTGTTTACTTAAAGTCCTTTGCATGTACACGTATTTTTCGCGTATCCCAATTATTAGTCAGATATACATTGCATCGTAGTAGCTGCCAAGTGCTCCTTGTCTATTTCCCCAAATTTTTGGCATCCTGTAAAAACCATGACACGCTGCTGCTGAAAAAAACAACTGAAAAATCGAGTACGATCGGCGGCAGAAAACTTTGATTTCACTTCTGCTATTTGTTTCTACGAAGGTATGTTGCTAAAATATCAACTCATCTATATCTCTATTCTCCCGGCTTTTCTCCGAGGAATAGGGCCATTACTACTGTCTTATCTATGTGCATAATGTTCCTCGCAAATGCACTTAACAACGCACGGATTTTGCCCCGGACAAAGAGGATTTTACATATGCTTGAGACCAAGGAGATCGCACGTGCTGGTTCTCCACCAGCCTTTTTGAATGAGTCCTAATTCCGGATCTTGAATTGTATAAAATCCACCGGTTTTTCCTGGTGCTATTTTTTTTAAATGTATGGTAATGGTGTTTGCACACTTGTAGATTCTTGGTGGGGACCCTTATGAATGGGATTAGACTAAATAAGTGTACATGGAGTTAGAATAAGGTAATTTGACGTTAGCCAAAACACAGGCGCAACAGAAGAATGGTGGGACCATGCGACCTTATTTGGGGACACCTGCTATGCGGGCGGGTGTGTGTTCCCAAATTTGGCGCGGGGATGGGCATGGGTATTTCAAAGATAAGAAGTGGCAACTTTTTAACAACACCCGTAAATGCGAAGCTCATCGAAACGTTTTCGTGGATAGTTATTTTGTTCTGCGGGCTCAATACTGAACACATCCTCACACCGCCCCCTGGTGCATGCGAGTGTTTCTGTAGCAAAATTGGAATGTGATGTATACGTGAGAAATGTACATGAATGCATGCAAATGTATACACTCGTGAATGTATGCGTGTGTGCGGAGCTACTGCGTGCAGCTATAAGTAAGCACATATAAATGTATATAAACACATCGAAATGCAACTACGTCGACGTGCGGAGAGACACCCAAAACCTTATAGGCTTTGGAGTACATGTGTGTAGTGCAGGAAGTTGATGACAGGTCGTGTCGAACAGATGAAGGCGAAACTTTGTGGTGGCCTTGACTTGACTTGATTTAAGGATGGTTGGCGGACAGCAATCACGGACAGTGATGTCGACAGGCAAATAAAGCCAGCGGGCTGCGCGCTCATTGTCATCTCCTCCATGCCCCCACTATGCTTTGAGCCAAAATGAATAAGCGAATAAGATGCAGCAGGAAATGAGACACTGGCTGTAAATTATTTCAGGGTCATGACCGCCTAATTATACGAGGCTAGTTTACGTGGGGCTCGTAGCATTACGTAATCCGAGCCACAGATCTTATCCACCAATAGCGTTAATATGCGTTACAAGCTGTAAGCGTTACCACCGCTGAGCTAAGATCGGCACTTGCTGGGTGAGAACAGGCCGGAGCGCAGCTGACGGCGCTGGTCTGAGCTGGTGTAGCCGACCCAGCAGATTGGCGGGGATCAGTCATTGGGGTGAACTCATGGGCAGTGGCTGACAGCACGTCCTCGGGAGCGGGGAGACACGGGGTCATGATGAGCCGCAGCTTGAGACTCCGCGGAGCGTGAGGGGGGGGGGGGGGGGGCTGGTCTGAACCGCTGCGTAAGAATGGCAGATGAAGCTGTCCGGTGTCCTGACTGTCGGGGTCTCAAGACGCAGTCTTTGCCCGGCTTCTGGCGGTCGCTTGAGTGGATCGGCGGAGCTTACGTTTGCCGTTGGCGTTGTCCCGTTCACGTTGGTGTTGACCTTACTTTCCTGACTCAGTTATCTCTCCCTTGGCCTGTGTTAGCTGACCATCCGTCCCAGCGGACCGTGTGTCCGACCCTCGACCGTCATATGTCTAACCCCTGACCGCCGCGTGTCCGACCCCTGACCGCCGTGTGTCTAGCCTCTGTGACTGTCATGTGTCTAATCCCTGACAGCCGTGTGTCTAGCCCCCGACCGTCGTGCGTCCAACCGCCTGATTGCCGCCGCCGTGTGTCTAACCCCTGACCGCCATGCGTCTAACCCCTGACCGCCGCGTGTCCGACCCTGACCGCCATGTGTCCAGCCGCTGACCGCCGTGCGTTCGACCCCTGACCGCCATGCGTTCGACCCCTGACCGCCGTGCGTTCGACCCCTGACCGCCATGCGTTCGACCCCTGACCGCCGCGTGCCTAACCCCTGACCGCCGTGCGTTCGACCCCTGACCGCCGTGTGCCTAACCCCTGACCGCCGTGCGTTCGACCCCTGACCGCCATGCGTTCGACCCCCGACCGCCGCGTGCCTAACCCCTGACCGCCGTGCGTTCGACCCCTGACCGCCGTGTGCCTAACCCCTGACCGCCGTGCGTTCGACCCCTGACCGCCGCGTGCCTAACCCCTGACCGCCGTGCGTCCGACGGCCTGATCGCCGCCGCCGAGCGCCAGCAGCGCTGGCCGGCTGCGCGGGCCCGTGCGGTGAGGGCGCGCCGTCCCTGGCCGGCCGGCGCGCGGCCCAGTCGGGCCCCTGACTGCGTCCAGTGAGCGCGCGGTGTCTCTGGTCCCCGCCGCGCCCGGCCGTGCTGACCTCGGCAGTCGGTCGACCGCGTCGCCGGGTGGGGTCAGCGGCAGCAGCGGGACGGGTGTGACGGCCGGGGCACGGACGCCGCCGTGTCGGCACAAATCGGGTCCGGTCGTCGCGACTTGAGCCCGGTCAGCAAGTCGCGAGTCTCTCGCGAGAGCGGCGGCAGCGTGGGGACGCGGCTGTGGCCGCGTGAGCAGTGAACACGAACTGGTGAACTGTGAACTACAAACTGTGAACTGGTTCGCCGCGCGCGCTTCGCGAGTCGTTCAGGTCACACCGGGACGGACCAGCGCCGCAAGAAGGGAGTCTGTCTTAACGTTGATCGGACCTATGACGACGACGGTGCCGTGACGCCTCATCCGCATCCGCACCAGCGTTCGCCTCACCATGGACGTCTGCTTCAAGGACCCCGCGGAGCAGCTGTCGACGAACGACACGGCGAGCGCGCTCTACGAAGTCCCCACCGCCATCATCGCCCGTCCTCTCCGTGTTCTACGGCTCAGTGTCGGTGATCGCCGTGCTCGGCAACGGGCTGGTGCTCTGGATCATCTGCACCAGCCGCAGGTAACGGGCTGGTGCTCTGGCAACGGGCTGGTGCTCTGAATCATCTGCACTAGCCGCAGGTAACGGGCTGGTGCTCTGGATCATCTGCACCAGCCGCAGGTAACGGGCTGGTGCTCTGGCAACGGGCTGGTGCTCTGGATCATCTGCACCAGCCGCAGGTGACGGTCGACCTGTCCACACAGCAGCTGTGTACCTCACGCAATGTGCTGCTCTTGGTTATGCACAGCGGCGGAGGGCCGCACCAGCATAGCAATTTGACGTATGCGTATCGGTCACGTGTTACGCACTGCGCGAAGTGCTCGGTCGTCGACGATAGTTACAGGTAACACGCTGTTGTGCTCTGCCCTGTGCAGCAATGGCAGCAGCCATCACAGCCGTCTGGGTCATGTGCAACACGCACATATAATGCACGGTGGGATGTAGTGTTTGCTTTATCTGTAGGAATAACGTTCTGAGTTGCGTTACGTACCGTGGCCTGAGTTGTATGCAACAACTTTAGGGTACTCAACATAATCATCTAGACAAAATGCGCTAGTATGGCGAACGTTCGTTCTGCTTCTCCACGTTGATTACACATGATACTGGCTCACAAACACCATACGCACTTTGTTGCGGAGGGTAATTCCACGATCTATGCGGCAGGAATAAGGCATAACCCCCGGGGTGAGAAAGGCACGGCGCCTCGTCCACAATTACCAACATCCCAGTTGCAAGTCAAAACACTTGAACAAATCGTTACGTACTATCTTGCGTTGCGATACAAAAACTGGTTGCGCTTTCGAAGAGCGTGAACGCAGCCCTCGTTTCGCTCGGGCCCGTTCAACGAATCGTTCACTTCAATGCGTAGTCTTGAATTCAATCGGTGCTTCAAATCGTGGTCTGACATGTTGGAATTCTAAGCCTGCGAGACTCGTGCAGCTGCTTAATAAAGTTTATCTGAGCCATTCCGGGGCTGAATCCTGACAACCGCAGCCTATTACGTCGGCGCGGAATGTTCCAAGCCTCTGGGGCAATCACTGTCTAGCACGTTCATCCACCTGCATCCCCTGCAGGAGACCTTAAGGTCAGAGGTCCATGTAGCTGTCTCTGAGGAGGGGTATTTGGGTCGCACGCCTGGTCGCGTTTGACAGTCTTCAAACGCAAACCTGGTCGGGAAGGCAGAGTCACTCAACTGCACGCAAAGCATGAAGCTTGATATGGATCAGGACGCGTGGGAGGCATGCAGCAGTAATTGAAATACGTTACCTCAACAGTTCTCAGCATTTTGTCGTGACTTTACCTTACACTTCCTGTGCTTGGTTATCCACCTTTTCCATTGCTGGCATCAGTGACACCGTTGCAGGTGCGTGGCGGGAAAATAATTAAGGTTCATACGATAAACGCATTAGTGAGCTTGAGTACCTATTGGGACGAGTTTGAGTCGCTCAGCTCCATCCTCATGGTGACCAAGCCCTTGATGGCCTCTGCTCGTGTGCGCCCATGTAGTGCATTTAAGGGGCGTGCACACTCTGGTATGATATACACTGGCGGCTAAACATAGCTATCAATCTCGGGAACACCTCATCATGTTCCATTTACACATGGTACAACCGTCCCCTGTTTGCTCATCCACTGCTGTCGAGCCGATGGAAGTTCGCGGATAGAGCTTACAGTAGTGCCCCTCACGGCGTTCCTCCAGCAGCCATAAGTCACACCCTTCCTAGCTCCACGCCCGTCTCCGTGCGCCTTAGCTGAGCTCAACATAATCATACGGTGGCGTCATCGGGCATTACAGAAGCGCCGCCCTTAGCGCTCAGCCGAGCTTCACTTCCGGCTTTAGATTTCAGTCGGCACGAGAGCCATGAGAGATGTGGGAAGGGGGAGGGGGAGTGGCAAGCAATGCGGCAGTGTCCCCCCGCTCCAAAACGTGGTGTTCGTATTTCCACCTTCCTGTTTAATATTGAAGCATACCCACACACTTGCCCTTAGCGGAGCCTGCATGCATACATATCCAAAACGCCTGACGTTGGTCGTTTGCACGACGGCTTGCGGTGCGGCATGTTCGGAAACGTTTCAAGAAAAGAGTTGACAATGTAATGTACGAGAACTTTGGTTCAAAGTATTTTAACCCATTATTCATTGCGTAAGTCGCTCAGTGCATTTGCGAGGAACATTCTTCACATAGATGAGAAAGTAGTATAGCCCTTTTCAACATTCTCTTGGTTTTTCTCCAAGGAATGAGGTTATTACTACCATCTTATCTTACCGTTATTCATTACTCAAAGAAGCACCCTGAGTTTGATAAACCCGTATTGCCAGAAATGTTTACCTAGCATCACTTCCAATCTGTATATTATCCTACCAATGCTCAACTCATTAGGCTTAGTTCAATGTTCCCGAGCCAAACGATTTTGTGAAAACGGCTATGGCGTGCTCAAAGACTCCCACTCTTTCGTTAGCGACTTCTGCTTAGCGGGAGGCGGTTGCATCATGCCTTGCTTCCCTACAGCCGCCATGTGCACGCAATGTCACCGCCTCTTACCGCAAGTTCTATAATCTCCCAGGTGCAAAAGATGATTACTGTACACTCGGTGCAAGTGGTGAAAACACCGCAACAAACATACGCCTCCAACCGACGTTGATGCCAGGATCAGTTACCTGAACTCTGTATTGGACATCTGGCTTCTAGGATCCGTTGGGATTTTATTCAAGGTATGTTGTAGGATCTAGGACCCGTTATGGAACTTTGCCGAAGTTTCTCTTGGCGTCTCGAGTTTTTTGTGCAATCGTACCGCAGCAGTTTGTGAGATCTTGAACTTTCAACATAATTGTATGCAGACTTTCAGCGCTCCGCCGACTTTTTGGTTTGCGAAACTTTTGAGCTCGTTCATAAATGGCCATAAAATACCCTATATAATTTAGAACCAGACCAAAGCAAAATAAGCCTTTTCTCAAAATTTAAACTGTGAAGTTAGAACAGGCTGAAAACATTACTGTAACTGCCCCACATGCGCCATTTCACCACATGGACATATATATATATATATATATATATATATAATATATATATATAGATATAGATATAGATATAGATATAGATATGGCAATCATGAAGAGGTTCGTGGTCAATCAGATTACTGCATGACTGAAAACATGTCTCCATGAAAAATGTCGGTGTGCTAAACGTGCAAAATTAACTTGATTTACTATGCAAATCGAGTCAGTTGGCTTAACGGAGCATGATCACCGCCACGGTGTGCGCGGGTTGATCACTTTTTGAACTGATTGGAGTTCGGCAACACCGGAAGCTCCAAAAATGCATGTGTGTTATCTATAATATGAAATGACGGCGACATCAATAAGGTTTGTTCATTCGCACCACGAAGTGACGTGTTTTGCGTGATCGGGGCAAGAAGAGCTCAGGTGAGTTTTGTGGTTTGTCGATGAAAGTGTGACTGGTATCTGAGGCGTCTGTTAATGACTGTATGAAGCTTTTTTACTGTCCTGGTTTTTGCTTCGATGTGTTGCCTATTGGTTTGCTGTCTATTGGCATACCACAGGACATTGCGGGTTCGCCCGTAACCAACACCTAGGTCTTATGACACCATTTGTTACCCGGTTCTGGCAAAGCCGATCGGCTAGACGACTGATCGCGTTCTACCTATGACATCAACACGGGCCAGTTCCTGATAACGCCCAGACGCTTGCAGTTGCGATGGCAACGATCACGTGCTACAAACCTGTTGATTGTGAACCAGACGAATAACTTTCTGATTTTTCTGACTCGAGAGTGAGACCCATGCGGTATACAAGGCACGACCTGGCAAACGAAGCGTCGAGCGGAAATCTGTTCGCGCTCCGCATAAAAAGAGCTGGCAATGTGTTGGCGAGTGCATCCTTGATTGTTATGGCGCTGCCGGCGATTGGAAGTGTGCTACGTCAGCCGATGGCGTTGTCGCACAGACCGAGGAGCCGTACAAGAATGTCTGTGCCTTGATAAATATCCTAGGCGATGGCTGCTACCCAAGACACAAGGAGGCTGGACGAGGAAAAATGTTCAACAGCAGGGCATTGATCTTATGGCTGGATTCATTGAAGGGACGCAATGACCACACTGGCGGAAAGCAGCGCAAAGTTTTTGACGTAGACGGACTTGCCTGTTGGTGCTTGCCTTCCTCTGTGTGGTCGCAACAACAGGGCTTGGCCGGAAAACAAAACCATGAATTACGCATACAGAATAGATTAAAGGGTGGATTACGCCCAGTGTCTCACGACCGCAGTCGGTCTCGAAAAAATATAAATTTCATGGACTAAGCAAATTATAGACCTGTTCTGGCAACGTCTGGTGGGGCGTTCGCGCAAGGAGACGCATTACAGCGCAAGGTAGCTGCTTGCAGCGGCCTCGACATCCCTGCAATCCTCTCTGTCACCCGGACAAGGCAGGTGCACTTGTATCAACATCGTGAGCCGTTCCGCAAAGAAGTCTGTGCTCAAGGCAACGCAGAACATCACGTAGCGAGCTCAGGGAACAGCTGGCGATCGTCTGCTCTCTGGACCATGGTCCAACGCTCTGGCTCGTCGTCCAACGCTCTGGTCCGTGATGACCTCTAAGCGGTAGTGTATGAGGAAGCGTCTCCGCCATGACAGCTCCTGAGCGCCCCACCTCACAGCACACTGTTCATCCCCATCGAAGGTCAGTCGTGAAGGGGGCGTGAAGCGTTTGACGACTGACCCAGCCTCCTCACAGTCAGACATGCCGCTCACACAACCAGATGTACCGCAGACTGAACAGCCAGATGTGCCGCAGGCTGAACGGCCAGGTGTACCGCAGACTGGACGGACATGTGTACTGCAGACTGGACGGCCAGATACACCGCAGACTGGACGAACAGGTGTACCGCAGACTGAACAACCAGATACACCGCAGACTGAACGGCCAGGGTGTACCGTAGACTGAACAGCCAGATGCACCGCAGACTGAACAGCCAGGTGTGCCGCAGATTGAACAACCAGATACACCG